GAAATACTGCCTCTTTCCACCTACTACCCTCCAGGGCTCTCAGCGTCAAGCAACAAGGCCAGGTGATGGGCATAGGTTGTGGGCCTTTGAATCTAGAACAGGTGGGTGCCCCTTCCGTACTGCCAAATTCCACTCCCCAGTGAAATAAACCACTTCTAGCAGGGCTTTCAAGGCCACCTTCACCCAGACCTCCACATTTTCCGCTGGACACGTGCCCCCTTGGATCCATCCGGGGGGCCTGCGGATGCCCCAGCATTTCCCTCCCTCTATCTGATCTCAGCCCCTTCTCAGCTGTGTAGTGCTGACTGCACCGTTCCCATCTGTTCTGGGGCCCAACACTAGGATTTTCTCTGACCCACGACCATATGCCGAGGTGGTACGCTGAGTGGGGAATATTTGATAGACAGGCGGCTGAGGCTTAGGAGTCCAGCTCAAGGAGCCCTACGTCTGGCACACACAACAAAGGAGTAAACAAGCCTCTGGTGAGTGAATACATGAACTTCAGCCACTCATTTCACTCACTCATCATTCATAAACAGATGAGAACACTGCATACGGGGCCGCTGGGCTGGGCCAAGGCGGTCGAAGCCATTGCTCAGTGACCCAAGCTCCCAGCAATCCGGCCGAGTACACAGCAGCAGCTGGGCGCGCTGGGGCACCGTGAACAGCCAAGGGAGGGCGGGGCGGGCGATTCCATTCCACAGGCTAGGAACCGAGAACGGCAGCTTCCATTCCACAGGGGGGGGNTTTTACTGACAGTTCCAGTCCCACTCTACCTCACTGAGCCTGGTTCCTCTCAGTCAAGTGGAAATAGTCACACCAGCCCTCCCAGCCTACAGGCCTGTCGGAGAATCACATGCCTTGGGCAGGAAAGATAAGAGGCACAGGGGCTGTGGCCCAATGGAGCAGAAGCAGGAAGACGAGGCTGTAAAAGGGTCATCAGGGCTGGCTCCAGCCCATGGTTACCCTACAGTGACCCAAAGTGGCCAGGCTTGCGTTTTACTGACCCCTTTAGAGACACACGTCTTGATAAAGCTCCCAGAGGCCCCAACCCAGAGGGCCCACAAGATGGGGAGCAGCAGCAGTCAAGAATCCAGGTGTGGAGCATGGAGAGGGGGGCTTCTAGAAGACAAATTCTCCAGAGGGTCCTGATTCCACCACTCCTGATCCTAGGACTGGCAAAACCACCATGACTCAATTTCCTTGGTTTGCTGGAAGAACTGGTGGCACATAGAGCAAAGAGCAGATCAGAAATTAATACTAGTAAACGTTACAAATTGTAGATGTAAGCCGTAAATGACCCCGTGTCATTGGGGCTTGGAGGAGACCCTGGTCAGGTGTCTCAGAGGTCAGCAGCAGTTGAATACACTGAAAGCACACGAGGGAATGGCAGGTGCCAGGGAAAATGGTTCATTTGCATGGTCTCATTTCTGCCGTGGGGCAGCCCTGAGAGGTAGGTGTCATATGTCATCTGACACATGGGGAATAGACCCAGAGAGGTCAGCACAGCGAGGAGCTCAGAGTGGCCAAGTGGCAGAGCCAGGACTCAAACCCAAGCCCTGGGCACTGTTACCCCGGGCCCTGCTCTGTTCTTGCTCACATGCAGCTCTCCTGCGTTGAGCACCAGAACCACCTGGAGAGCCTGGTAACCCACCCTCTGCCCTGCATGGAGGCAGCTAAGCGGGGTGAGTCACCTCACTCTAAGCACAGGGGAGGACAGCCGGAAAGCAGCAGGAAGAAAAGGTGGAAGGAGCTGAGAAGCCAAGCAACGGGGCCTCTGGGCCACAAGCCCTGAGCTCCGCATTCCCATGCCCAGGTGTGGCCTTCAGACCCGCATCAGCCATCGTCAGGTATCACCAGATGGTGGGTTTGATGGTGACATGGGAGAGCGCCTGTCCACCCGCAGGCACAGCCTAACAGAGCCACTGTTCCTGAGCCTGCCCAACGATGGGGCGGGGCTGCTCCTGGCAGGCCCTCCATGGGGTCAGTGAGGCAAAGGCCTGCCCTGCACACCAGCTCCCTCTCCTCCAGGAGTCTCCCCCATCCCAAGGCCACAGACCCTAAAGCTGTGCTCCCATCACAGCACTTCTGTCACCTTGACCATCTCTCTCACTAGTCCATGAGCTTTGCCAGAGATGACAGCACGTCTTACATCCCTTTCCGTCCTAGTGTTAGGGCCCAACACGGCTCCCCTAATCAGGGTAAAACAGAAAATCCCTGCGCTCTGGCCCAGAATCACGAGCCAGTGAGTGGCAAGGGGTGAGGTGGGGGTGGGGTCATCTGACAATGTTCCAGAACAGCGCTCTGGTTATCCTTGCTGGTGCCATAGCTACCTGCCACAGGAAGGGACAAGGCTGGCTTTCGTCGGCCCTGAAGCCACACCTGAAGATCTGTAAGGAGCACGAAGAAATGGCAGCCTTGCAGAACACCAGCAGGCCTCCTGAGGGGTCTGCTCAGAAAAGGCCACACTTTCAGGTGAGCTGCATCTTCTTTAAAAAGGGTCAATCACTGCTTGCTTCTGGGAGCTGCTGGAAGCCTGGGAAACTGCCCCATTTGGGGGGTGGGGATGTTCCAGGACTCATCCGCTTCCACCATTTCAATTTTAGCTGAGGTGTCAAAGGAGGCCAAGGAGAAGGGACAGGCCCAAGTCAGTGAAGGGCAGAGCCTGGCACTGCTCACCCATCTGCTCCGGCTGCCCGCTTTTCAGAACACCAGGTAGACCCTGGATTCTACCAGTGGTTACACTGGTCTGCTCCCCTGGTTGGGGGGCCCAGACCTGACGCTGCCTTTTCGTACCTACAGAGAAAACTGCTGGAGGGTGAGGGTGGACCCACTCTCCTACCACCCCAGAAGCCTGCCCTTGGCGCGTGGCATCGGGGCCAAAGACAAACCAACCATTTGCACTTAGTTTCACAAATCTGATGAAGGGCCGGTAAGGTATATATTTGGGAGGATGCTCCAAATTTGGTCCTGAGGGTTCTTCCTGAGAAAGGCCGGTTCTCAGCTGCCTGCTCCTTCTGGAGTCCAAGCCCCAGGCCAGAGAAGTGCTGGTCTCCCACCTCGGTGCAGGCTGGGTTATGGGGACAGCCAAGCAGACAGGACAGGTCCTTGCAGCCTAGGCTGGGGCCTGGTCTGCTTCTTGAGCTCACTCTCCATTGTGCCCGGCTCTGCCAGTCAGCCGGCGGCGCTGGGTCTTGCTGGTACGAGTGGCACTCGGGGGCTTCTTGTTGGAGTCCTGCATCCGTCGGGGATGTTTCCTCTTGACCCTTTTGCGATTGTGTGCATGCAACGATGCCGTGAGAGAGGAGATTCTGTGGGAGGGTGGGAGGCTGGTGAGGCTAGGGCCTCAGTTTACCCTGGGGAATAGGGCATAAGTGAAAGGTTGGGTTGGGGATGACTGATGGCCCAGCTCATGAAGGGGAAGTCAGGACAGGCCCCAAATACTGGGAGTACCAAGTCCATTCCAAAGGCAGCCTGCTCTGACCCCAGAGGGCCTGCCAGGTCCTCAGCTCAAAGACAGGAGGGTTTTTACTCAAGAAACAAAGGGCACCCAGGGTTGGCCATTTTGGGGAGATGGAGGTGGGGGACTGTGAGGAAGGATTGAGGACCACTTGACAGGCAAAGCAGAAGGCTGCTCTGGGCCCCACATCACCCCCTACAAGCCAGCGGGAGGTGGCTCTGCAGGCCGGGTCACCAAGGCCAGCCATGCAGAGTCGTAGGGGAGGACAGGCCAGGGCTCACCGCTGGGATAGCAGGGGGTCTTTGGACTTCCTCGGTAAGGCTCTGGTTGGCTTCTCCATGGATGACACCTCCTCCTCAGACCCGTGCCTGGTCCCTTGCTAAAAAAGCACAGGACAAGGACTGTCACAGAGAGCAGTGGATTGGGAGGCCTGAGTCAGGGCTCAGAGAAGGCCGTGTGTGTCCTGGAGCAGTGATTACACAGGGGAGAGCTGTGTTTCAGAGTCCCCCACTGCCTCAGCTTCCAATGGACACTCACCACGCACAGATGAAAGAACTCTAAAATGGGAGAAGACTCTGCATCAGAACTTTCAGAAGAATGAGTACAAAATAGATGAGTATGAGATGTGATAAAGCGGTTGCTCCAGGACACTGTAACCAGCCATGATAGGAAATGTGGTTTACCTTGTAACTGTTTATATACATGTGTATAAATTCCTACACAATCCAGACACAGCTTTAACTGAAACAACTTAGTGTGATGCTTTCCAATATTTTCAGTGATATTCTGTTCTATTTTTATTTTATTTTTTTTAACGTTGGTCAAAACCTGCTAATAACTTACAACCGATACGTTGAAAACTCATTGTCGGTGCACACAGACGAGCCTTGTGTTATTGCTGCTTATGCAATGGGAACAATCACAATAAACAGCTATCATAAGTGTTTCTTGTGGGTTCTTTTAACCTCACAGCAATCTGACAAGGTAGGTGCTACCATCAGCGAACCTCAGTTTACTGATGAAGGGAAGAGGCAAAGCAAAGAGACTTGCCCAAGCTCCCACAGCCGCTCAGCGATGGAGATGGCCTCCGAGGCCCCTTGCGCTGGAATGTCCATGACTTAACCCAACAAGCCAGTCTGCCCGTGTCCCTTCTTCTCCAGACTGGGAGTGACACCCACCTCAAGCTGGGGCAGTCCGAGCAGCCGGGAACCCGAGAGGTCCAGGTCGCTGATGGTGGTCACGGTGACAGTGTGGTTGGGGTGGTCGTACTGCACTGTTTCTGTCTTTGCTGTCACCAGCCGGTCCAGTTCATCTGCCTCCTCTGTGCAGGGTGGGCACAGAACTGGGCCTCAGCCCCAGGGCCCAAGAAACCAGGCTCTAGCCCTTCCCAATCCTGGAGCGTAAGGGCCCCCTGTCCTCTATGGGAGAGTATCCAGGAAGTCACCAGCTCCAGAGCCTGCTTGCCAGGAAAAGTTGTAAGTGATCCAACTCTTCCTTTCATCCTCCAGGGAAACCTCAGACCACCTGGCCCCGCCTGGGACATGCCCAGTGTGACACCAGGAGCTGCTGCCGCCCCTTCCCCTCTTCCCCGGTCCTCCAGGCCTCAGAAACTGGGCTGTCTTCTCAGGATTGGTTTACCAAGAGGTGTGGGTCTCCTCTTTGTCTCTAATCCACTCATATTTAGAGGTACCTGAGGACCACCCTGGCCCCCAGGTCACCACCAAGGCCCCTAGAGCTAAGGACGTCAGCTTCTGTGCAGCCCTCATACCCCTCCCCTCCCACCCACCAAGGGATAAATAAACCCAGGCCCACTGGCTATCCTCCAGGTCAGGACAAGGACGGGGCTTACCCAGCGCCTCCTCTCTCTCTGCCAGCATGTTCAAGTATTCTTGGTGGCGCTGAAACCAAAAGGTTAGAGAACACAGTGAGTATGGCCTCTCGGCCCCACCTCAGGTGGGGCACTGCTCACCTCCAGGGTGAGTGAGTGAAAAACCAGGCGATTCCACCCTATACTTTCCCTAGACCTGGGCCCACAGTGTCTCTACCTGTACGAACTGTTCCCCAGGCCTGCTCACACCTCTCCTCATCCCTGCAGATGCCCCTATTCAGGCCATCCAAGGCTGCAAGTCCCCTGGGAGTCAGACTCTCCTGCCCTCCCGCTCTGCACCTCCTCCCGGAGCTTCTTCTGCTCCTTCTTGAGCCGCTGCTTGATCTCCTCAATGGCTGCCTTCTTCCGCTCCACCTTCCGCTTGTGGAAGCCTGTCAGGTACTCCCTACAGGAAAGAGGCAAGCGAGACTCAGGAGATACACGGAAAGAAAG